TCACGAAGGCCCTATACTATGGTTACGAACATGTTACTTTTTTTGACAAAATGATTGGACTAGCAAAAGTATTGCGAAATCCTCAAGAGCACAGTCCATGTCTTTTGTTTGGGCGGAGACGGCCAACCAATGAACCTTGATTAGTTCCTTTTGAACTGGTTTTGCCTACGATGAGCATGGAATCTGTCTCTAGAGCCTCACTCCAGCCTTCAAGAAAGAATGAGATTCTACTTTGCAGGATCTCGTTGGGTGGAATACGAGACGAAAGTGATATTCGAGGTCATCGCAGGACTTATGTGGCCGCAATGTGCGGACGAATCATTCAAGCTCTGAAACATGCTGGTAGCAATAATCCACTAATACTTCTTGACGAAGTCGACAAGCTGGTAGGATTTGGAACTGATATGAAACTTTCTTAATAGCCCCTGGTAAAGGCACATACCGCGCTGATCGTGTGGGCGGGGTCAGATCTGTCATCATGTACTCCCCCATGGGTGCGTCGTTTCAACGCCACAGGGGCGGAGACGGTCGATAAAGGCTCAGCTTTAGCCCGCTACGCAAAAAAAATAAAAAATCTACACTACACCGCTCAAGGCTCAGCGCACTGCACGTAAGCGGATGGGCAGAGGAAGCGGCCAATCCAACGTTGTATCTTTCTCGTTGGTGTGCCTCTTCCAGCTGGTGAAGAGAAGGAGTTCATCAATGAAGAGTATTCGATGTCTCCGCCCACTCTATCATTGTGGACCTTTGGTGGCAGAGCTGCCAACTGAGAGTTTTTTAGCGATCAGGTTTGAAGCTGAAATAACTTTTCCTCAACATTCTTTAAAAAAGGCTTATTGTCGAGAAAAAAATCAGGCGATAATCGATTAGCTCAATTATCTTCTCCTAGCGCCATACATTCCGCCTTTTCAGTTCGCTGGTCTTCATGGTTCACCTTCAGCTGCTCTGCTTGAAGTATTGGATCCTGAACAGAATAACTCGTTTACCGATCAGTCAGTTTATAATTTGATTCTCAGAGTAACTCACCTCTAGGAGTCAATTAATCCCATTTGCTGTTTAGTTACCTAAATCTCCCATTTGATTTATCAAAAGTGCTGTTTATTGCCACCGCCAACGACCTTTCAAAAATTGAAGGACCACTTGCCGATCGTCTTGAGGTGACTCGAATTTCCTAGATTCATGTAACGATCGATTCCCTAAGTCCCAAAAATCTTTGCAGATCATCGAAATGACTGGATACTCGACGAATGAGAAGATAGAGATCGCTGAACGTCATCTAATTCCTCGTCAACTACTTCAACATGGAATTTGTCCGGATCATTTGCGGATACAAAGAGATGCCCTTCGGATCATGGGTAGGGTGCTACTTTTTGGTATTGAACATGATGTTCTCCCTCTCATCCTAAAGAGCCTAGCTCAGTACTGGTAGTACTTTGAAACTGTTATGTGTTGCTGAGTCCGATC